AAAAAGGCTTATATTTTTCACAGTCTAACTATATTATTAATGAGAACTGCATTTATTTTAGTCTCTTCCTCTCGAAAATGCATTGCAAGAACAAATATATCAGCCTCCTGAAGCTTTTGTGATGCCTCATTTTTGTAACGTGCCCCAAATATCCAAAGTTCTATCCCAACTTGTCTTACTCAAGGCTCATGTCATAATAACCCTGTGAGATAGACTTTATTATCTTCATTGTACAGATGAGGATAGCAAAATCCAGAGAGTTTCCATTATAAAACCAAACCAAAATGTTACTCAGGGTCTTTGACTCCCAGTCCAGTGGTCTTTGCACTTCACCACGTACGACTCGTTCACACTAGCTGAGCCCTTGAATGAAAATTGTAGTTCTCCTCAGCATCCTGGTAGACATTAGGATGCTTTGGAGAGTGCCATGGGCCTGCCATAAGGAGAGGAGGCAGTGTGAACAAACGTGAGGAGAACCCCACTGGTGGGCCTATCTAAGCCATCTCCAACAGAAGCTGGACTGACAGTACCAGCTAACCCCACAGAGCAAAACCTCCATGGTGACCGTTGGACTCACCATGAAGGGAGGGTCTGTAGGTGGAGTATTGGAACTTTTGACAGTGAAAGATCCCCAGTGGCAGTGGAAAAAGTAGTGGCCTCATATTCAGTAAGGTTTCATAACCTACTGTTTACCAAATGGCACGTGCATCACAGCAGAAGTTCGATAGCTTTGTTGTGATATCTTCTAAATCTCGGCTGTTTCCTCCGCAGCCTTCATAGCCCTGGTCATTTTTCCCCTACATGCAAATGATCACCCTTCATTCCTGTAATTATCTACACAACGGACCTGACCCACTCCCACCCACTAATGGGCAGTATATTGGGATTTCCCCCCAAATTGCCCATCCACCAGGATCACCCTCTCCAGGAAGTTATTAACAGGATCCAGGAGTCTTGAAGGAGGAAATGCAGGAAAGCCATTCTGGGCCAGTGAGGAAACTGGTGGAAGCATAGAGATGAGAGTGAGGAGGTATGAGAAGCAGTAAAGCAGCTGACCAGAAGGGCACAGAGGCTGGTGTTGGGGAGTAACAAGAAGGGAGGCTGACTGTCCAAGCTGGGCCCTCGGAGGGAAGGGCCCATACTTTTCAAGAAGAGATCAGACTTGATCCAGCAAATAACCAAAAAACAGATGAGGGACAGAATATCTTGTATGAGGAAGAATAATCAGACTATACAGGCCATAGGAAATGCACAAGGAGAACATGCCCAAATGTTAAGAAATAAAGGAGGCATTAGGTGCCTCCACAACACAGGGCAAGAAGAAATTAAGGAGAAAGAGTTTACTGAACTTGGTGACTCAAGAAAAAAAAAAGAAAAGACAGTAGAAAATGACTATGACTAAGGTTTATGTGTCATTCACTACACAAAAACAAAAACAAAAACAAACCACGATGCAAGATTAATTTAGACCCATTAAATTGGAATCTCTGAAGGTGGTGGTAGGTGTGCATTTTCTAAAGTTTCTGCAAGCTCACAATAGAGAACCCCGAGCCTATGCAACAAGCAGAGAGATTCTGGGCTCACACCCTTCAGGTAGCTTTCTGTTCTGAGCCAGCGAGCGGGGTTAGCCCATAGCTGGGAGCTGTGGTGATTCCCACGCACGAAGGCAGCTGCTGGCACCAATCCAGCACTTGCAGCAATGGAGGGCCTCACCGCGCCCGTGACCACACAGACCGCAGGAACGCAGAGGCGGTCGGTCGGAGATGACTGTATTGGGCCATCAGCCCAAGAGGCCTTCCCTCCAGGAGCTGGGATGTGGCCCCGGCCTTACAGAGAGTGACCTATAGCTAGAGACAGACCAGGGCGCCAGTGAGCTGGGGAAAGTGGACAAAGCACTGTGTGGTAGAGTCTGAAGCAGCAGAGTGTGGGCCCTCCGTTTCGATGGTGGAGGAGGCCAGGTGACTTCCCCAGCCTCCCTCCAGGTTGCTCCTCTGTATGAGGCTGCTGACCCTCCCTAAGGCCATGGGACAAGCTCATTTACCTTGACTCTTTTTTTTTTTTTAAGATTTTATTTATTTGACAGAGAGAGAGAGACAGCGAGAGAGGGAACACAAGCAAGGGGAGTGGGAGAGGGAGAAGCAGGCTTCCCGCCGAGCGGGGAGCCCGATGCGGGGCTCCATCCCAGAACCCTGGGATCATGACCTGAGCCGAAGGCAGACGCTTAACGACTGAGCCACCCAGGCACCTCTACCTTGACTCTTCTCATCTGTCCCATTTGTAGCTGGCCCTCTTCAACTACATAATAGCTCTTGCTCTCTCACTCTGTGAATACACATGGAATTCATTCACATTAATAAAAGATGACATATAATCCCTATGTTAGCATCATATCAATAAATCTGTGTCGAGTGATGTTCCTCGTAGAAACCTTACTTCATTCTCACTGTGGGCCTACGGAGTAGGGAGGTCAGAGACTGTCCCCACTTTATAGATAGAGAAAGAGAGGCCCGGAGAATCTGGGCAGCCACGCCGAAGATCACAGAGCTACTAAGAGGCGACTGTGATTAGGGGACTTGAGCACAGCTTTCTTTTCTCCACCCTATTGCTGCAGTATTTGCATTTCAACAGGGACCAGAGCCCCAGACTTCGACATTAGACATTAACCTTGAGACACACAAAATGGATTCTTTCGGGGCAGCCCTGAATCACACAGCACAAGTTGCTGCCTTTGCCTTCACTTCACCTCTGTGCTCAGGCAAGTTAGAGAAAATGGCCTGAGCTTCGCTTTACCTGTTCATAAAGTGGAAATAATTTCCTAGGGTTTTCTGATAATTTCCTGAAATACCTCTTTTCCTTCTCTTCCCCATTTTACCTACACACAATGCGAGATGTGCTCAGTCAGAACCACAGGCTCACCCAGTGCCTGCAAAGACCCATTTCCTATTGCCTCCTCTCTGCTTTGGCTCCTAGCCTTTTCTCTGTCCCCCTCAATGCCTGTGTCCAGCCATGCCAGACTTCCTTCGCTTCTCAAACCAGCCAAGCCTTCTTCCCCCTCGGTATTTTTGTGCATGGGAGTTCCTCTGCCTGAAACCCACTCTGCCCTAGTCCTGTCCTCCTTGCTTCTCATCCTCAGCTGTCAGACCAAGTGTCACTCCTTCAGGAAGGACTAAATAGCTTCCTCCCGTTATTCTTTCTCACTGTATCCTGTAATTTTCCTTTGGTATTACAATTTGTAAGTATATGTGAATCCTATGTTTACTGGTTTAATATCTGTCTTCTCCACTAGACCACAGACCCCCAGTTGGCCACTGTCTCTTTAGCACCTGGTAGAGAATCTAGCATATAAGGCATGCTCCATAAATATTTGTTGACTGTGTGTTGGATTAATACTGCTCTGACCTCTCTCCTTTGGGATTTCTTCCTAAACCCTCCTCACCAGGTCATGTACTACATTCCACAGAAAAAGCATTCCCATGGAGCTCACATCCCTGACCGTTTCTTCATTTTTTTCCTCAACATTTATTTATACATTATTACTAGGTTGCATTCTCTGGTTGTTTTGCAATTACTTCTCCCCTTATTCGTTTTTCAAGGGCTAAAACTCTTTCAGTATCTTTTTTGGAATCCTCCATAAACCTAATAGAATAGCTGGAAATGTTCTTGGTGCTCAGTAATCTCTTGACAAGCAAATGAATAGACCAGTCGATCAGTCCTGGTATATCCCTTTCCACATAGCAAACATGGAAATACCATTGCAAGAAAACAATTTCTACCCATGGCCCACTGCTGGAGTCCCTCTTCTCGGGTTACTATTTTGAGTTTCAATAAGAAACAAACCATCTTAGGGCACCTGGGTGGCTCAGTTGGTTAAGCGACTGCCTTCGGCTCAGGTCATGATCCTGGAGTCCCGGGATCGAGTCCCGCATCGGGCTCCCTGCTCGGTGGGGAGTCTGCTTCTCCCTCTGACCCTCCCCCCTCTCATGTGCTCTCTCTCATTCTCTCTCAAATAAATAAAATCTTTAAAAAAAAAAAAAAAAAGAAACAAACAAACCATCTTATCTTGAAAGGGGATTGGATTTACTTTTAATAAGAAAGGCTGAATTGAAAGCTTGCATTTCCCCCCCAAATTTAATAATAGCACTAGTAAAGCCTTACACTCCTCAACCAGCCTTATTTCAGGAAAAAGAGTACAAAGCTTCCCGGCAAGCTTCTGTCGTGATAGAAGAATGAGACCCATATCACCAAATCTGTGTGAATTCATTGAGAGCCAGAAGGGGGTCACACAGCAGGGGAATCTAGTCCGAGCATGTCTCCAAACCTCAGTCAGTCCAATCCAGGACCGGGCAGAGGAGGCGAAGGGCGACATCAGGTTACTTGGAGCCATTGTCCTCCAACGTCTGAGGTCCTGATAGTTGCCACTGATGACCTCGGGGAGTAAAGAACTGGCTCTTGATCTCACCCCCTTCACAATTAGAACAGAACAAAACAAAACAAAAAAACAGGCAAGTAAAATATGTCATTGCTATGCCCCAAATGATCACGTACTGAAAAGGAACTTCTACATTTGTCTGGCTATTCTGGAGCAGAGCCTTCAGTTTATTATTTGCCCTACTGGCAAACCTCAGGTTACCCAGCTGCTCATTTTATCAGTGTTCTTTGAATGACTAACAGTAACAACAAATATACGTACGTCCACACACAGGGTGTATATATATGTTATAATATATGCATTAGTTCACTCTGACGATTGCCCAGCAGGTTCTGTCTAGTTAGGAGCTTCCCCCTAGTTTAGTATTGGATCTTATAACATGGGCCAGGAAAAGGAAGGCAAGTTTGGGTAAATAGCTGTTACACCCTGAACATTGTCAAGGTCAGTATGGGATCTTTTCTCCATGAAGTATCACTTAATCACCTGTACTCCCCCTCTGTGGCTTTGTGACAAACCACAGAGCCTGTTAGAGACGCCTGCTGATGAGTCCCCTTCTCTCCCTGTCTCTCAGGCTGCAGAAGTCCCGAAGGTTGATGGAGGGCCATGCTATTCAAACAGCAGGCGTGGCTGAGACAGAAGCTCCTGGTGCTGGGAAGCCTTGCCGTTGGGAGTCTGCTGTATCTAGTCGCCAGAGTTGGGAGCTTGGATAGGTAGGTAATTCAACACATACTTATGCCTGTGTGACTTCAAGTGTCTCTTGATTTAAACTTCCTTAGGACATAATCCTAAACCTATCCATTTGTTTTCCTCTCTCAAAATTCCCAAGAAATGTGCTTTTCTGCAATATTGGTTTTGATTTATTGAGCCTTTAAAAGAAAGAGCTCCAAGTTGCTCAAACCAAGGTGTTCGTCAAGATCCATTTGTATTCTGTGTGCGTTGACATTTGTTTTCAGAGAAGGGATAAAGCCGTATATGTTAAAAATGTCCTTTACAAGAGCTCAGTGTGGTCTGTGTGCATCTGGTTGTCGACCTCTAGCCGTCGCAAAATAGTGATGCTGTATCTATTTATCTTCATTTCGAAATTTATGAGTGAGCAATGAATGTGCTACTGGGAGAGTTAAAATTATGTATGAGCCTGGAAAGGAGCTCATCAAGTTGGAATCCATTGCTTTGGAAAGATGGCTGCAGGCTTGGGGAGTTTTAACCATGTTAATTAAGTCTGGTTTCCAGGAGCTGAAAGGACCAGATGAGGAGGCTGTCACTCAGAGTAATTGCCCAGAAAACAATGGAAAAATCCAGGGAGAGGAAATTTATAGAACTAGCACTTGGCTCTAAATAAGCAAACTGTTGAGAGGTACTAACTAGACTTGCAAGAAGTCCCCCCAAATATCAGCTGGCTTCACATTGAGTACCTCAGGACTGTCCCACATTTGGTATGATTGGAAAAGACAAAGACGTTAATTTCTGAAATGAGAAGCTCCCTTCTTTGCCCTTTAAAATTAATTATTGCACCGGAAAGATGGAAATATGTTCTCTATGAATTCACTTCCCATTTTCCATGAAAATGCAGCCACACTTAAAATGAAAATATCTTCCTTAAAATTTCCCTTTTCTAATCTATAGGTCTTATCACTAGGTTATTTAACAAATAATATTGCAGTGGTTTTTATTTTCCTTCAGCCAGTGTCAGTTTCAACTAGTAAAGTGAACCCGTCTGATGCTTTTCAATTCAAAATTCCTAAGTGAACTTCCCACTCACTGGTTGCTAACTATGGGAAATGGTATAATCCAGAGCTTGTCACTGACTTCAAGTAGTTCTCTAAAGTGGTACTTAGTTATTAATGAAAAGCCTTGAGGCGGGCACCATTGTCCTGTTCCTGATGGAACTTTTATGTCAAGTTCTTCCCAATACCTTCAGTTAGCTTCCAATCATTTCCTTTTTATTGAGTGATTGATCCAGTGATCATTAACACAGTAGTTATTTAGTGAATGATTCTTTTCATTTTTAACTTGGTGTCTGGTCTCTGATGGGACAGCTTTTGGGCTTTCCCAAAACCTCTAATTTGAGAGTTTGAACAAAATTATGTCTGAAATTGACACACACTTACTTAGGCCTATCCTTTAGTAACTGAAGACCCTGCTCTCTGGGTGGGGGGCTGAGCTGTCCCTTCCGGTCCTAAGATTCCATGGGGTTTTTTTTTTCCATGTCTGAGGCCCATGCTCAGCATCTACTCTTCAGGAAATAGAAATAATATGTTTTCTCCTACCATGAGTTAGGAAGTCAAAAAGCAATTGTTCTGCAAGGTATGAGCTGCCAAGGTAGAAGGTAGAAAGAGGAAGGAAGAAAAGAAAGAACAGCCTTTCTAGAAGTAGGGAAATTCTTTCCTGCTCTAACAGGACAGAGATGGTCTGTTTCAGGCTCTCTTGGCCAGAGTTCTGCAAGAGAATTAAGTCCTTACAGAAAAGGATCGTTCTAGATGCATTGGAGAGAAGTCCATCCATTGCATTCAACAGATGCTGTAGTGAATTAGGGCTTAATTTTCAACCAGAACCCAAGAAGAGCTGAAAGATGAATTTGTGATATCCCCATCAATGTCACAATTAAAAATATCTTTGACTACGTATGTGTTACTACTTTTATATCTTCCACGTAGAGCTCTAGCATATTAATCTTATTAACGAATTTATAAAAACAAAATTCATGTTTCCCTAAAATATTAAATGTGAACCCCGTTATTTTTTATACTATTCCATATTTTCATGTTTTCCACAATGAGCATGAGTTGTTTCTAAAATCATAAAAAACACCACAAACAAATAATATATGAGTATAGTTTTCCATAAGCATTCTGATAGACGTTTAAACAGACAGGCAAACTCTTTCCCCTCAGTTCTGTAGAATGCCGTGGCATGACAAAGTTTCCCTCTTCCTTTAATTATAAACATTACAGAAGATGAGAATGGTACAATAGGGTCTCTTGGGAAAAGCAAGAGACAGCCTCATTGCCACAGAGAGGGGAACATAGACACGAAATAATTAGGATAGCTAGAAGCTTCAGTTGGAGGATTGGCTTAACAGCCATTTTGACTAATCTTACACCCTTTAGCAAGAAGGCTAAAATGCCTTTTCGGATAAACTTAGGGAAGTTAGAATGAATTTCAGTTAGGTTCCAGACTGTTACCCAAAAGGAAACTCCATATGCCACCCATAGACATTGGTCGAGCCAAATCAAGCAGTAACTCTAGTCTAATATCATTATGATTATTACCACGCCTTTCTCTCTGAAAAAAAAACAGTGGTGGTGGTTCATTATTTAGGGCAATGCTGAAGTGGAAATCCTCCTTTCTGGCTCCATCCATTGCACGTCTTCCTTCCTATGCTTGAGTCCCTGATATCCCTGGGCTTGGCAGTGAGAACCCAAAGCTTCTGGCTCTGGCAAGGTCTGGTTGATTTCTGGTCCCAGGCGTGGGAGGTGATAGACAGCACTTGCTGATGGCGTTGGATTTGTTCCTACATTCAGCAAAGTAAAAACATAATCTCGACCTCTTTAGACAGAAAGAGAGAGAGAGAGGCAGAAGAAATAGAGTATTTGCCTAGCTGTCCCCAAGGCCAATGGCAGAAATTCTCATAGAACGAAAAGCTCAGCAAGTGCCAAGATTGGATTTTTGCAGGTTGATGATACAACTAGTCACGGGCAGAGACTGGGACCTCTACTCAGATTAGATCTCAGAGATTTCTAAGCGCCACGTGAGTGCTACTGAGCTGCAAGAACTACTACCCCACGAAACCCAAAAAACGTGGCCTCCTAGCCAGTCTTCGGCCTCCCAGCTGAAGATGGTCATCTTCTGCCTTTCGAGTTTTCTAAATGATGTTAACTGGTGAGCTGTTAAAAGGCTATTAGTATGGCTGGTGTCACTTGTCTGTCCTGTACTGCGAACATCAATGCACGCTGTAGTCAATTAAGCGCTTGGCGAATAAAAATTTTAAGGAGCCCTAATAAAATAATCCCATCAATTATGTGTGCTCCATTTAATACAGGGTTGCTTAAAATAAAATTTCCCAAACATATGTTCATTATGGATTGCAGCAGGCTGGGAACCAGTGGTTTTATTTATGCATCTAAAGTCTTACTCCAACTAGGGAAGCAGAAAAATGACAAGTTAGTCGCCAGGAGCTTCTAAAAGCCGCTTTCTGTTGCTTTCAGGCTGCAGCCCATTTGCCCCATCGAAGGCCGATTTGGAGCCCGTGGCCAGGCCGAATTCCCTCTCCGCGCCCTGCAGTTTAAACGTGGCCTGCTGCACGAGTTCCGGAAGGGCAACGTTTCCAAGGATCAGGTTCGCCTTCATGACCTGGTCCAGCAGCTCCCCAAGGCCATTATCATTGGGGTGAGGAAAGGGGGCACCAGGGCCCTGCTTGAGATGCTGAACCTCCATCCAGCTGTGGTCAAAGCCTCTCAAGAAATCCACTTTTTTGACAATGATGAGAATTATGCCAAGGGCATTGAGTGGTACAGGAAAAAGATGCCTTTTTCCTACCCACAGCAAATCACAATTGAAAAGAGCCCAGCATATTTTATCACGGAGGAGGTTCCGGAAAGGATTTACAAGATGAACTCATCCATCAAGTTGTTGATCATTGTCAGGGAGCCAACCACAAGAGCTATTTCTGATTACACTCAGGTGCTAGAGGGGAAGGAGAGGAAGAATAAAACTTACTACAAGTTTGAGAAGCTGGCAATAGACCCTAATACCTGCGAAGTGAACACAAAATACAAGGCAGTAAGAACCAGCATCTACACCAAACATCTGGAAAGGTGGTTAAAATACTTTCCGATTGAGCAATTTCACATTGTCGATGGAGATCGCCTCATCACGGAACCTCTGCCAGAACTTCAGCTCGTGGAGAAGTTCCTAAATCTTCCCCCTAGGATAAGTCAGTACAATTTATATTTCAATGCTACCAGAGGGTTTTACTGCTTGCGATTTAACATTATCTTTAATAAGTGCCTGGCGGGCAGCAAGGGGCGCATTCATCCAGAGGTGGACCCCTCTGTCATTACCAAATTGCGCAAATTTTTTCACCCTTTCAATCAAAAATTTTACCAGATCACTGGGAGGACATTGAACTGGCCCTAAAATAATAAGTCATATAACACTATGTGTTGTGGCTGGAGACACACAATGTCTCCTCTAGATTAAAATATGCACTTTTCTTAGACACAACTATCCAAGTCATTTTTCCGTGTGTACTTGTACATACACAGTGTGTGACCAAATATAAGATCAATTCTTTTTCTATTGAAAAGTTACAAAAAAATAATTCGCTGTCCAAGTAGTTGCATCATTTAAGATATTTACAAAAAGAAAAGGTGGTGGTATTAGGGGAAAGTGACTTCAGCTATTCTCAAAGAGTTTAGTCTTCCTTTGAGTCAGAATTTGTCGCCCGCCATTTTCATAGAGTTTAAGCCAAAAGATGATGTGTGAAAACGTACCAATGGCTGTGAAGCTGCAGGAAGTAGAAGATGCAGTTATGCATTCTTTTCTAAGGGAAAGCTGGCTCTTTAATTCAGCTCCTGAATTGGTGCCGTGGAAACAGAAAATACTATTTTCTTATGATTCGAAAGAATGTCGTATCTCATAAAACTGACATTGTCCCGAAGTACCTGTGGTGATTTTGCACTATTGTTTTCTCATATAGACCATGGTGTTACTTGTAGCATGTCAATCACACATTGGAAAGTTAAAGTCCTTTTACTTCCATGTTCTGTGTCAACAAAGAGAAATGTCATGTACATAATGTATATTGTTGTAAATACTGGTTTCACACTAAGTAATTCTATTTTGTAAACTGAATATGGCTATTTAATTTATTGTGAAAATTAAATTTATTGTGGTATTTAAAAATGGAATGGATTAAAATTACTCTCTGTGCAACCTTTTTTTTTTTTTTTTTTTTACTCATTTTGTTTTACACACCCCCCGCTGGCTCCCCAAATCGAAGCTGTTTATGTGCATATGAGCGCGCTTGGAAAGAGGCGCTTCCCGGTTGGATTTCTGTACCCTTGTGAAAATGTTTTTATGAAGTGAGGTTGAGTATATTAAAAAAAAAAAAAAAATCTCAGCCATCTGGAAATCTAGTAATAGAGCCACCTCAAAGAATACTAGTTTTTCTGCTACAACTTTGTAACAATTAATTTACATGCAGTTTCTGCTGTGTCAGGAGAGAGACAGAAATACTTTAACATAATCAAGGCATAGAAGAATCAGTTTTATTTGAACCTCTAATCAGAGTCAGACCAGTCGAGAAATTAAATAAAATAAGATTAGGAAACGTGTGTGGCCTCTGTACTGAAAGCGGCTGAGGCTTCAAAAATGAATACAAACTCCCAGAACTGCCTCTTTGAGATGAAAAAAAAAAAAAATCAGTCTGCTCAGAAATGATCAAATGCGTAGTGCTGCTATTACTAACATAAACATATGGCTCATATTTCCATCCAGAGAAATTAATGCTAAATTGGGTGAGTGCTGACATCAGATACACTGTATCAGGCTTAATATAATTCAGAAAACCGTGGAAAGAGGTGTCAACAGCAGCAACAAAAAGAGGGATTTTTCGCAGTCATGGCTGCCTATCCAGTAGAAAATGTTTGAGGGAGTTTTTTGCTCAACATCACACTGAGAGTGCCTAGAGAAATCAGCAAATGACAGTGGGTTCCCTTTTGATTGTAGTAAGTGTTGACTTTCCCCATGAGTTGTTTCTCCTGTCCAGTGATTTGATGGTGAACTTCTCCAAATAAATAGCCCTTTCCCCTCTGGTTCGGTATATATTCCTTCTCAAGTGACACAGCCTTAGTGATCATCTCTCCCGTTTCAGTTAGCAGCGATGCCGTTCTCTAAGCGTGGGATGGGCATGATGGCAGCACAGGGTGACAGGCCAGCTCCTCACCTATCGTGCAGTGACCCTGGAGAGTGTCTCGGGTCTAGATGCCAGTCCCTTCTCCCGTAAGCCGTGAATGAAATCAAACATAATGAATGTAGCATTAGGTTTCCTTGTGCCTCAACTGTCAGCCAGCCGTTAGAGTGAACTCTGAATACTGCGTCCAAGGTCATAATCACATGCTGTCATCAACTCTAGAGCACTATGCGGCTGATAGAGTTTTATACCAGTAACTGTGAAATTATGCCCCACTGGAATACGGATGTTTCCGAAAGTCAGCCTGGGTATTCCACCAATAAAACTGAAAAATGGCAGTCTTTTGCTAGACAACTGGAGAAGTTTTTCTAAAACAATGAATAGAAATTTATCAGTGATCATCTTTTATATTCTAAATTTTTCTTAAATTTTGCTCCTGCTTCCAACAATATAGATCTCGGAGTTTATTCAAAGATTCTGTTTGACTGATACTGACTTTTCTAATTGGTTATTTGGGGCTCAGGAAGCCAGTATTTTTTCATCACGCTCGGAAAAAAAGCTCTGTGATTTCCAATAGTTCTGCTTCCTGAATAAGTTTGAGAATTGCTTTAACCTTGGAGCCTCCCCACAGGGACCTAAAGCAGAAGGCCTGGCCTGGGAGGATGCTTTGGAGGCAGGTTTCACCGCAGTGGGAAAAAAAAAAAAAAAAAAAAAAAAAAAAGCCACGGCCACTGTTGATTGAGCAATGTAGAGAGAAGTAAAAATCCTATAACTTAATAGCGTACCTCCACTGGAGGTTTTAAACCTCCTTGTTTAGAAAAACGTGTCCTGTTGTCATCAAACAGGCAACAGATCTCTAGAGAAATCCTCAGCTCATTACGTTAGCTCTACCAGGGCTCTCTTGAGTAAGTTATTCCTTTTACATTATGAAATCTCTGCATTCTTCCTGGAGGCTTGGTGGCACCATACGGCTTTGTGAAACAGTTCTAACTGCAAAGAGAAAAAAAAATTTAAGCAATGGTGGAGTTGCTGCTGAACCAAAAAAGCTGAAATGACACCGGTGATTTTGGAAGCCAAGGAATGCTGATTATAATGTACACAAACAGGAAAAAGAGTCCCGAGGGGTCGGAGAAAAAAGAGACCTACAAACCCAGAGACACACATCCCCAGTTCCAAGTCCATCCCCTACTCAACCTGAAATCACCTCACAGAAGCCCTCAGTTGATGAAAGCCTCACTTTTCCTACTAACTTCACTGCCGTATAGGAAACATCTAAGACATTAGGGTCCTTACTCACGTATGAGAAAGCAAAGGCATGTGAACCATCATAATCACACCTGATCTTAGATTTGGCACCTTTCATGTGGAGGGACCGGCAAGAACCATCACTGATTGCCACTAAGGCTGACGGCCTCACGAGAGCACTGTTTGGGTGCCGCGCCTGGTAGAAGGGCCCCGCGAGGAGCGATACGTGGGACACGGGAGGCGTGTTGCTGCTAAGGGGAGGTAGGAACCCAGGACAAGGAAAGTCCAAATACCAGCCCCGCCAGTAAGCTTTTGCTTTCTCCAGTTAGCAGTTAGCTAAATCGGATTGCCTTCATAAGCCTAATTTGAGAATTTTCTAGGGATGGAGAATATCAAATGATCGTAAATAGTGTCTTCCTGCCGAAGTCTTTTGTACTTTTTGGCACACTCAGCAGCCATTCTCCACTCAGGAGAACAGTCTACAGTGTAAGCAAAAAAAGAAAACTTCACCAAAAACATTCCCCCTAAAAATGACTAAATATGGCAAAATCTTAGCAATTTGGGCTAACAAGGTGAAAATATAGAATATCTTCAAGCAAACTCATTGCAATTATTCCCAAGTGGATAAGGTGCAAAACTGTACTAACAATATACTGAAAAATACCTAACTGCATCTGCTTTATGAAATAAAAGCCTCTTTTTTTTTTTTTTTTAAAGATTTTATTTATTTATTTGACAGAGAGAGACACAGCGAGAGAGGGAACACAAGCAGGGGGAGTGGGAGAGGGAGAAGCAGGCTTCCCGCGGAGCAGGGAGCCCGATGCGGGGCTCGATCCCAGGACCCTGTGATCATGACCTGAGCCGAAGGCAGACGCTTAACGACTGAGCCACCCAGGCGCCCCGAAATAAAAGCCTCTTAATTGGCATGATTTTTTTTTCCAAATTGGTGTTACTCAAGTATTTCAAAACAGTCTGTTCTCTTAAGCAGGTTCCTCAGGCCCCCTAGCATCTGTTTATCAATTTTCATAGGAAGCCTTTCCTTTAGAGCGAGGCCAAGGATGAAATTTAGGCCCAAACAGGATCATTCGGTAAGGTTCTAATGCAGGTGCCTTATTACACATGTTACAAATACAAATCAAATGCACTTTCAAAGATTTCTTTCCAATTACATTGTATTGTACTCTTGAGGAATAAGAGTGCTATTTCATAATGATTCAGAACGGGGTGGGGAGTTGAAGAGGCAGAACTGAACGGACAGCAATAGGCGTTCCCATAGAAAGCCCCTGACTGGGAGCCCAAGAACAAGTGTCTCTTCTCCAAAGGCAGCTCGGTTGAGAAGAAATACTCCATCGGGCACAGCACGTAGGCAGCAGCAGGCTTGGTGCCTGATGGGCCAACTTCTCTCCCTTCGGAGTCTGTGAACCGCGTCTGTCTACCAGGGCTTGGGAGCTGTTGGTGAAAGGGCTATTGTTTCCAGACATACATGCCGCCCCCCTCCCCTTTAAAAGCAGTCCACCACGAGGGTCAGGGGTTCCCCGTAGATTGCTAACTCTACAAAGAGCCTCCACCGTTTCTGAATGCACAGAATTCGGCTTCACACGTCCTTTTCAGAGGGATGCAGCGTTGCTGGCTTTGACAACCGACGGTGGGAGCCATGAGCCAAGGAAGGTGGGCAGCCTGTAGAAGCTCCAGAAGGCAAGGAAATGGACTTCCCCTAGACCCTCCAGAAGGGAACACCTGTCAACACCTTAACTTTAGCCCAACGGAACTTGTGCTGGATTGCTAAACCTACAGAAATGTGAGAACAAGTTTGTATCGTTTTCAACCACGGACCTGCAGTAATTTGGTACAGCGGCCATGGAAAACAGCTCCAAGAAATACGGAGAAACAGAGTGCTCGCCAAGTGCTGGCGTGTTTGATCAGCTGATGCTGATCATCTTCACAGGGTGATGGGGCAGCAGGCATCGGTCGCAAAGGGCCTTTCCAAACAAAGCAAGCGGAAGTCCTGAAGGACAGGGGTAGGTTCCCGAAGGCGAATGCAGGCAGAGTGACCCTTGAGGTGACACTTCCCTGGTGATAAAAACCAGAGCAAGTCTCACTTCTTCTGGGACACTTCAAGGGGTAAAAAAAAAAAAAAAAAAAAAAACAGTTTAATGGTAACTTGTAGAGAAGTTTATGACAAGGTATAGATTATGTAACATTTTTTAATATCTTTAACATTAAGGTTTGTACGCTAAAAAGAGGAAATATTTCCGGTCTTTTTACAAGTCCATAGAATCTAGCCTTGATCCAGAATATCTGAAGTCTCCAAAGATCAGAGCCAGGAGAGTTGGTCTTTTTCAAATTGGTCCCAGGCCATATTGAGGTCCAAATGGCCTCAAAAATTGTTCTGTAAGGAAAACAGAGACCTGAGATTCTTTCTCCTGGGATTAATGAGATTCAGAGGCACTTATTGATCACCTAGGATGTTCCCAGGTTCTGAAACATCTAGCAAACCATTACTAAAGGTCACTAGAAAAAGCCAGCGTTAGAGGTGTGACCAGAATGCAGCCCTCCAGAATTCCAGCCCAGGGCTGCTTGTCAAGAAGTCTCTAAATGGTTCTCTTAATTATTTATGTCTGCCTACTTCCTAAAAGGATTTGAGGTGGTGATTTTCTAATTAAAATTTGTTTCTAATCTCTTTCTAATCTTGTTTTATTGGCTGCATTTCAACCCTCTTGTACTTAATCAACCTTGAATAGTAACATGTATTGAGTCTGTATAAAAATATGAATTAGCATTAAAA